AAGGATTTTAGAGCGAAACTGTGCGGCCCGGTCGGAAAATCACGGGCCCCTCAGAAAAATAACGACCGTCCACGTTCATCCGGCGCGCGGATTGTAAAACGTACACCAAGGTCGGCTGTGCGCGCAGACAGCCGGCTTGTTTTCGTCACGATTTCGCCTTGCCCGACCAAGGACATCAAACGCCGATCAGTTGCTTAATGTCTCATCAGATTTTCTCTCTGCCTGAGGCGCGTTAAGACGAGCTTCTTCCCAAATCGGGTTGACAATCCGAAATATTAAACGGGTTCGATATTTACCATAGGCGGCCCGCCGGTGGTCCATCGAACTCACAGTTCAGAGGTCGTGGGTTCAATTCCAGCTCCGGCCTCCCTGTGTGGAGTTTGCATGTTCTCCCCGGGTCTGCGTGGGTTTTCTACGGGTACTCCGGTTTCTTCCCACATTCCAAAAACATGCACGGCAGGCTGATTGAACACTCGAAATTGTCCCTCGGTGTGAGTGTGAGCGCGGATGGTCTCTGTAAATAAATCAAAGTATGCCCTCCCCGTTGTCGGGTTTTTTGGGGGGCAAAAATGAGGATGACTCTGCCATTTTTCAACACCTGCGAAACATCGGCGTCTATCTGTAAGTTCCGATTCCTCTTAGTTTTGGAGGGAGCACGTGAGGGTTCCGCCTGGGAGGCCTTCGTTTTAGGATCGATGGCGGGGCAAGACCATAACGTGTTTGTCTGGCACTCTGCGGTAAGATGATCAAAGACGATCCAAACAAAACATACAAATACATGCCTGACTGTCTGATCTCTGATCTTTGTGCGTGCTCCGTCACAGATAAAACTTGTTAGGATTTGTCGCAGGCCTAACGGGCAGGCGGAATTCGACAGCTTGGTGCCTCCAAGAGTGAAAAGCACAATCAAGGTTTTTCTGTTGCTTTCATTCTTCAACGTTGAGCTTTGGAATTGCGATCGGCAAGCCACCAGTTCCAACCTTGGTCGTTTCTCTAACACAAAGGCCGTACACCGTGTTGGCACAAGCTGCGGTAAAGGGGGAGCAGGGGCGGCGGGGGGGCGGGGTTGATAGGATGGGAGGTGCTGGTTGAAACGCGCCACTCAAGTTTTCTGCAGACACCTGGGAACTGTTTCTGTCCATGTCACAAAAACGCGAAGGGTGCCAATAATGGCGGCCATTAGAATGGGAGGTCACTGTCAACCGAGGACACTGTTGTCAAGTCACAACAAAGTCATTAACTCATCCTAATGAATCCCTGTTCCGAGCCAAGATGGGGTCAGCAACGGCAGGGGGGGGGGGGGGGGGGGGGGGGTGTCCTCCCGGCTCTCTCCAGCGCAGGGCAGCCTGCGGGCATTTGCCGACGGAATCCTGATGAGTCGACGGGCTCGCTTGAAACGTCCGTCTGTCCGTCCGTTCCTTTTCGATGGGGTTTGTCCTCAGGCTGGCGAGTGGGCTGCAGGTGACTCTGCGGCAAAGGTAGAGATGAGAATTGAAAGGTGGGGGTCTTTTGGAGACGCAAGGAGCGTATTTTGGTGCTGTGCTTTCACAAGATGGTGCGACGGTCCAAAATATTTTAACGTGTGGTTGTATCGTGTGAGCTGGGTTGCCAGTTCTGCCCCTGCCCTACGCATGTGCGCAGGGCCCCCATCCTATGTGGCGTTGCTCCATTTTGTGCGAGGTGACGCGTTGCGACCTCTGACATCTGACCAACGTGAGGGAACGCTCTGACACGCACCAGACCCGTCAAAATTTGCAGCTGTCACGCTAATGCGTGATGTGCTAAAAGAGTCACTGCCCCAACGGTCACTTGTGAGTTCAGAAAACAGTTTTTGTAGCGCGCGGGTGTCACGAATGCATGCTTGTTTTGTACTGAATGACCCAAATGTGTTGTTTTATTCTTGGGGCAAACTAACCCAAGAATTTATTTTTTATTTTTATTTTTTTACCCAATTGTAGCCGGCACGGTGGTCAACCGGTTAGCACGTCGGACTCACAGTGCAGGGTTCGATTCTGGCTGCGGTCTTCCTGTGTGGAGTTTGCATGTTCTCCCTGGGTCTGCGTGGGTTTTCTCTGGGTACTCCGGTTTCCTCCCGCATTCCAAAAACATGCATGGCAGGTTAATGGAACACTTTAAAATGCTTGTAGGTGTGATTGTGAGAGCGGATGGTCGTTCGTCTCTGTGTGGCCTGTGATTGGCGGGCAACTGGTTCAGGGTGTCCCCCGTCTACTGTCTGAAGTCAGCTGGGTTGGGCTCCAGCACGCCCGCGACCATCGCGAGGATAAACGGATTAGAAAATGCATGGATGACCCAACTATTTTTTGAGTACCTAGAGTGCCAAAGTACGTTTATAAAGCCTCACTCCTCGAGCGTGCGCTCCGAGATCCAAAGAGTTCCCGACTTTGTGTGACGAGATTGACTGAAGATGCGCTCAACTCAAACAAAGAGCGAAGCCCAGAGTGGCACACCAGACATCATTCCAAACACACCCTCGGCGCTGCCCCTCAGTGATACATCATTGATTTCAAAGTTGATTTGAGCTCCATGATCTTGCCGATAAAAGTCTCTCTCTAGGAAACAGAGCGGAGCATGGTAGGCGGCCACTCGAGAGGGAACGGGAACATTATTTCCTCGTTTGAGGCAATAAGGTTAAATCAATGCATAATTTATGAGCCAGTCACTTCTTCATCTTAACTTAAATAACAGTGTGTTATAGCAACCTGGATTCTGGCAGCAGAAGCCCCCCTGGCCTCATGAAAAATTCATCCTCCCTTCAAGTCGCTCTGCAGTTTCCTTCCCACTGAGTCTTTTGAGTCCCAGAGGTGCGCGCTGGCTTTTGTTCCACCTCCAAATATTTTATTTATTTCTTTTTTTGCTGTGTCAGCACAGCACGGAAAAGGCTAGCTTTGTATTTGTTAGGTCGCCGTTGCTTTTGGAAGCGCTCAGGAAAGATATACATCACAGCCAAGTTGGTGAGGCCTTGTAAACATGTTTGTGTTTTGACGAGCGACGTCAAAAAACATCTGCGCATCCGACAAAACGCGGTGCGGCTTCGCTTACCTTTTGCCTTTGAGGTGACAAGGAGGAGCGTCATACGCATGGGGGGCGTGGGTGTTTCCGCGCGATGCTTCAGACAACCTCGTCCACCGGCTGGATTCGAGCTGTCGCTTGAAAGTGGCTCTGGATCTTCACAATGCCGAGCTGCTGTTCACGGCAGATAGGGACCGAAGCCTGTCATGAAAATCAAAAGTCAAAAAAAGTGATTGACACCCCCTCCTAAAGGGTCTGTGACCGCCTATAAATGCCACAACATAGCGGCCAAGGACTACTTTGGTCTGAATGACGCTTCTCAACCCACATTGTTTCCTCGGCATCAAAGCGGACAGTTTTTCAAAATGGCGAATAGGCGATTTAGGACTCTGCAATCACGCAGCGCTCGCATCGCCGTAAAATAACTGCAAGGATTTTATTTACTGTGACAGAGAGACGGAAAACGGAGGTGCGGCGAACCAGAAATTGGATGATCATAACGACGGCGCGCCCGTCTGGCCCAGCCGGTCAGCTTCATCCCTGCGGGCAGAATCGAAGTTATTTAACAGCAGATTGGCCACACGAGCCAATTATACGGCCTGTTCATGCGAGTCATGTATGGCGGGATAACCTCATTACGGCGTCCGTGCGCCAGGGCTGATGAGATAGGCGGGGGAACCCCCCGGCCCCCCCAAAACAACACAATGAGCATGGAGACTTGGGGTTTCACCAGCGAGCTGGATGTGAAGCTTTCGCCGTAGTGGAATGTACTGGCCAAAATGCGTGCTCGTTAGTTCCGCCCCTTTTCTTCTTAAATTTATTCCCGTTTCGTTTGTTTTTCAGGCAATTTCAAACCCTACTCGGAAACCCGAACCCTAGTTGAAAACCCTAATTCCAAACCCAATTTTAAAATACAAATCCGAAACCATGACCCTAGTTAAAAAGCCAATTTTAAAACCTGAACCCTACTTTGAGACCTATTCCCTCATTTAAAACCCTAACCCGAATTTGAAACATTATTTTGAAACCCTAACTCTAGTCTAAAAACCAATTTTAAAACCCCAACCCTAATTTGAAACCCTAACCCTAGTTTAAAACCCTTCTTTAATACCGTACCTTTGAAACCCTTATCCTAATACTCTAACACTAATTTAAAGCCTTCTTTTGAAACCCTACCAATTGTTTGAAATGTTAATGTGAAACCCTAACCGGAGCTGAACCCTCATTTGAAACCCTAAACCTAATTTTAGAGGCTACTTTGAAACACTAACCCAATTTTAAACCACAAAACTGAAACCTTAACCCAAATTTAAAACCCTACCTTGAAACCCTAACACTAATTTAAAGCCCTACTTCGAAACCCTACCCCGAGTTTTAAACCCTAGCGAAAGAGTGAAATCCTAATGTGAAACCCTAACTGGAGTTTAAATACTAACCCTAGTTTAAGATTTTTAAGATTCTTTCGGGGGGGGGGGGTCGGTGTTCAAAACCAAAACGTTCCATCATGAAATGGTTCATCTTTTCCTCACAATGCCCTGAGCATCTGACACATCCTGGCATCACTGTCCCTCTTCATCCAACCTGATTTTTTAGCTCGAGGAGATGATGAAGAGGAGGACCCATTTTGAAGGCATCGAGTTGGCCGTGATGAAGGATTCCGCCAGAATTCTTCCAGGAGTGTGTGACGGCGTGGCCAAGGAGGCGGGCAAGGCCCGCTGGGCTCCAGGGGCGCTTACTTCCAACTTCCAAAATAGCTTTTGGCACAATAGTCCTGGAACTTCTCTGACATAGCCGCGAGTGTTAAACTCCCAAAAGTCTCGCCGCCAGTGAGCAGCGTCTCCGACGACACAGTAACAATACAGAGACAGGTCGGAAAGTTTCACAAATCTTTTTTTGTTTGTTTTTTTGTAGATACCATTTTATTCTTTTCATAGTAAAAACAAATCAGTCATTGAAATGTCTTTCTTTTTTTCCCAGTGTGAAATGTCTTTGTTGATCATGATTTCTCACAGTACATTCAAGTTATCTGAAAAGAAAACAGAAATGGAACTTGGCACTTAGAAAACAACCACAAAGAATTGTCACCTTTATTTGTTGAGAACAAAAATTTACAAAGCCATTCAAACAGTCCTGGTTTCCAAATACTTTTCCGTTTGTTTGTTTTTTTTTTTTTTGTTTGCGTTTTATTTTAATTTTATTTTTTAAACTCAACTCTGGGGAATATTCAAAATACACTTTGTAATGTCGCTCTGCTCTCTCTATAGTTACAAATATGTACATTAGAGTCTCTTCTGTCTTTTTGTCACTCCGCCTCCCCACTGGTCATAAAAACGTTTTTTTTTTTTTTTTTTTTCCAGGTTCTATTTATATCTCCCTCCGAGACGTTGGCAATGTTCATGCCCGTGACCTCGAGCGCTCAGATGGAGGTCCCGTGGCTGGCCTCCCCCTCCGGGATGGCCCCCCCCGGCACGGGCTGGTAGGACATGGGCATGGGCGTCTTGACGGGGCTCTGGCGGAAGAGCCCGCCGTTGGGCGCTCGGTGTTTGCAGCGGATGGACGGCATGGTGGCGCTGCTGAGGGGCAGGGGCAGTGGCAGGGTCCGGCCGCCCACCGCGCCCAGCGTCCGGCCCGCCCCGTGCCCCTCGCGGAGGAAGGTGCTGACCGAGAGCGGCGGCGGCGGTCCCCGGTGGGCGGGGTACTCCCTGGCCGACAGGACCTCCAGGGACTGGCTGGGCTGCATGCTGCCGATGTCTAAGGCGGAGATCTCGATGGACTGGCCCGGCAGCTGCTTGTGGGCCAGGTCTTCGTCCAGGAGGCTGTTTAAACGCTGGTGGACCTGCTCCAGGTTCACCTCTTTGTCCTACGGGTACCCGTCCGTCCGTGTGTGCGAGTGGGGGGGGGGGGGGGGGGGGGCGTCCAAAAAAAAAAGGTGAGGAAAAATAAAAAGTAGAGAGAGAGGGGAAAAAAAACACAACAAAAAATAGTCACACAGGTTGCTCTGTCCTCCAACATCAACGGGAATGCAATGTCGTCTACTCACTGAGGCTGGATTTACATGATGCAAGCAAGGTCCTGGACGAAACATCCAACACAACCCATGTTCCAATATTTGGGATTCATTTCTTCCAAAAGACTTTGGTTTGTTCGCGTTTCCCTTTGGCTACACTGCTTCCAGTACGGAAATGTGGATGGCAGATTGCTGCCGCTTAATGTCCTTCAAATCTGTCGTGCTGGCCCGTCCAACCAAAACCAAATTAGCCGCGAAACACTTGAACCAATCTCATTTCAATGGGAAACTGGCTCCACGTACCGGATATTTTACCGCATCGATTTGATTGAACCGCAAAAACATGGGGCGGTTGTCAAGGAAGAAACGGGTTGTCACAACTAGTCGATGGAATTTTGAAACCGGCGACCACACGTGAAAACGAGTCGCTCGGCAGCCGGTGAAGTCATGCCGAGGTTCCCTTTGGGATTCGTTCTTTTCTTCTTGTCCGAGATCTGTTTTGTTGCTTCTTGGTGGACTAAATTGCAAAATAGGAGCTAAGTCCGAATCGGCCAATTTGAGCCGAGGTGTAAATCCAGCCTGAGAGAAAGAGAGAGTCTGGTACGAGCGTGTGATGTCGGAACACACCTGAGCCGACTTCAAATTTCACAGACACAGAAGAACTTGCACGCAAGGAGCGCCGGCTGACAAGACGGCCTCCAACATGCACTTGTTATGACAGCGGTTCTTAAACTGGGGGTCGGGGACCCCCGGAGGCCGGCGAGTGGTAGCTTGGGGGTCCGCAAAACCAATTGCAGCCAATTGTTGCATCGCTTACAGGTCGGCCATAACATCATTATTCAAAAATATGACATCATTGCAGAAATAGTCTCCCACCCCACCACCCACCACCACCCACCCTTTTTTTAAGAGTAAGCGGTGTATTACTTAGCTGGAAAAGTAAAGCCATCTTTTTCCAAGGATATCGTCCTAATTTTTGAGAGACAAAAGGTGTTGCATTTTTAAAATTCACTTGTTATACGGTTGGTTCACCTTGTGAAAGTTGGACACTAATATTCTAATATGATGATGTGATCTTGAACTAATGACATCTTTATACTTTGATAGTAAATCCGACTTGGACCACTTTAGTTTGGAGGTTGACATTCCAACGTTTTGTTATGAGGATCATTTGGAATTTGTACTTCAGGTCAATGGCATTGATGACCTCACGGTTGTGTTCCGACTTTGTG